AAGTGGCCCGCACGCTCACCAGCCACCAAATCGGCGAACCAAGTATCCCGCGTGCTCATCAACCACCACCAAGTGGCCCGCACGCTAATCAGCCACCAAAATGACATATAAGTCAATGAAACGAAGAAATACGCGTAATGAAGGAACAAGTCAAAACCCGGAAAACCAATAAAAGCCGCTGGCGGCCGAGTCACATCAAAACGACTCGACCGAACCAGGGGTTCGGCCCGTAACCAGGTCACCAAACGGTGACCACCAAATGGTGGCCGAGCCACCAAATGGTGGCTCGGCCAAGGCTGAGCCACCATTTGGTGGCCCGGCCAGGCCGAGCCACCGGGTGACTGTTCGGCCAGATTTGATCTAAAACGTGATTTTTTCGGTTTTGACAGATTCTCTTGGGATTTGTTGGTTCCTGAATGTCCCAACTGATCTGATATTATGGTTAATCAGTTCTTAACTAAAGATAAGGAGGAATCCCTCATTCTTATCCAAATACCCGCTTCCGAAGCTTATAAATACGAGCTCGGGTGCTCATTTCAAAGGGGGAGATCAAGAGGGCGAAACACTGCCGAATTGGAGAGTGGAGCCACGAATTTACAGCAAGAGTTAACAGATCTTGGTGATCTCCTGTGCATAAAGAGTGGAGTTCGAGAGATCTGAGACTCGTCCCCTATTCCTCTGGATTTAAGCTTGGTCTTAAATCTCGAGAAGAGCCGTGATCTCGCTTGGTCGAGATTATCGCTACAACGATTACTTCCTTCGTGAAGTAAGAGCTTTGATTCCATAATCTGTCAACCGGATCTGATCTGTGGCGGTCCATGGATATTAACATCCCCGACACAGGCAAAGATCCCATACAAACAACGGGTGATAAACGTTTGTTGCGTTGTTTGATAAGAGTTGTAATCTTTATTTTTATTGTGTAAAGGAGATCTTATAAAAAGATCGACTTTCTTTCTTTTTTGAACTTATTGTAATGGCTGAAATTATAATGAGTTCGTCACCAATAAAAATATCAACTTTTGACACAAACATATATGACAGCAGGTGCACGTTGTTTGATCTCAGTTGCAGCAGGCAATGAGACCTCAAAGCTGTGGCACCAGAGACTCGGTCATATGAGTGAGAAGGGAATGAAGATCATGCATACAAAGGGAAAAGTCCCAGGTCTAGAATCAGTTGATTTAGATATGTGTGAAGAATGCATATTTGGAAAGCAGAAGAGGGTTAGCTTTCATACAAGTGGCAGAACCCCCCAGGAAGGAGAAGCTAGAACTCGTTCACTCAGATGTTTGGAGACCAACCACTACCGCGTCCATTAGTGGAAAACACTACTTCGTGACTTTTATCGATGATCACTCTCGGAAAGTGTGAGTCTACTTTCTGAAGCATAAGTCAGAAGTGTTTAAAGCTTTCAAGAGATGGAAAGCTATGGTCGAGAATGAGACCGGTCTGAGAATAAAGAAACTCAGGACCTACAATGACGGTGAGTATGAAGACACCAGATTCAAGAAGTTCTGCTATAAGTACGGGATCAGAATGGAGAGAACCGTGCCCGGCACGCCTCAGTAAAATGGTGTAGCTGAGCGGATGAACCGAACGTTGACAGAGAGAGCTAAGCATTCGGGTATAGTCAGGCCTACTGAAGTAGTTCTGGGTAGAAGCAGTCAACACAACAGCTTACTTGATCAACCGAGGTCCATCGGTTCCATTGGAACATAGAATACCAGATGAGGTATGGTGCGAAAAGGAGGTAAAACTCTCACATCTCAAAGTTTTTGGTTGTGTGGCTTATGTGCATATTAGTGATCAAGGTAGGAATAAGCTTGATCCCAAGTCAAAGAAATGCACTTTCATCAGCTATGGTAAAGATGAATTCGACTACCGTATTTGGGACAACGTAAACAAGAAAGTGATTCGCAGCAGAGATGTGATATTCAACGAGAAGGTGATGTACAAGGACATGCACAAGACAGATGACTCAGAGAGCGAATCATTTATAGATGCAGATGTTGTTCCAGGTAACCTCTCAAAAGAACCCAATGTAGAGGGTCCTCAGTCAGAAGAGCCTGTTGAATAAGATGGTGCACAGGAGCCCAACGCACTAGCTCCAATATTAAGAAGATCTTCTCGTCCTCCTGTACCCAACAGGAGATACATGAACTATCTGTTACTGACAGATGGTGGGGAGCCTGAACGCTTTGACGAAGCTTGTCAGAGTGGAGATGCGAGCAAGTGGGAGCTTGTCATGAAAGATGAGATGAAGTCTCTCATCTCAAACCAGACGTGGGAACTAGCTGAATTACCCACGGGTAAGAAGGCACTCCACAACAAATGGGTGTACGGGGTGAAAGAGGAGCAGGATGGCTCCAGAAGATATAAGGTCTGATTAGTTGTCAAAGGATTCCAGCAGAAGGAAGAAATTGACTACACCGATATTTTTGCTCCCGTGGTGAAGCTAAATACTATCAGGATAGTGATGAGTATTGTAGCTATTGAAGATCTTCATCTCGAGCAGTTAGACGTGAAGACGGTATTTCTTCACGGAGATCTAGAAGAGGAGATATACATGCATCAGCCAGAAGGTTTTTTAGAAGAAAAGAAGAAGAACCTGGTGTGCAGACTCAAGAAGAGCTTGTATGGCCAGAAACAAGCCCCAAGACAGTGGTACAGAAAGTTTGATGGCTTTATGCACAAGGAAGGTTTCCAGAAGTACAACGCCGACCACTATTGCTACTTCAAAACATATCAGTCCAGCTATATCATCCTACTATTATATGTTGGTGATATGTTGGTTCCAGGTGCAGATATGGAGGATATCAGGAGTTTGAAGCAACAACTGTCAAAGGAGTTTGACATGAAGGACTTGGGTCCAGCAAAGAAGATCATTAGAATACAAATCACGAGAGATAAGAAGAGAGGTCTCTTGCAGTTATCTCAGACGGAGTACATCAACCGTGTTTTGCAAAGATTCAACATGGGCGTCGCCAAGCCAGTGAGCACACCCTTGGCCAGCCATTTTCGTCTATCGAAGGATCAGTCTCCTCAGTCAGAAGAAGAGAAAGAGAGTATGGCTCAGGTCCCTTACGCCTCAGCTATCGGAAGTTTGATGTACGCAAAGGTCTGTACGAGACCAGACATTTGGCCATACAGTGGGAGTGGTCAGCCGGTTTATGTCGAATCCAGGAAAAGCTCATTGGGAATCTGTCAAGTGGATTCTGAGATATCTTTGAGGCACTACACATAAGTGTTTGCACTTTGGTAAGGGAGAGGTAGAAGTGCAAGGGTACGTAAATGCAGATTTTGGAGGTGAAGTCGATCACCGAAGAAGCACCACCGACTATGTATTTACTGTCGGAACTACAGCTGTTAGTTGGATATCACAGATACAGAAGATTGTCACTCTATCTACTACAGAAGCTGAGTATGTAGCAGTGACTGAAGCCAGTAAAGAGATGATATGGCTTTAAGGTTTGTTAACAGATCTGGGATTCAATCAGGAGAGGAATGTCTTGCACAGTGATAGTCAGAGTGCGATACACTTGGCTAAGAATTCTGCATTTTATTCTAGAACGAAGCATATTGCGCTTCAGTACCACTTCATCAGATCCTTGTTGGAAGATGACGTGTTAAAACTGGAGAAGATTCCAGGAAGTAAGAATCCAACAGACATGTTAACAAAGACGGTGATCGTTTGACTAAAGCCAGTAAAGAGATGATATGGCTTCAGGGTTTGTTAACAGATCTGGGATTCAATCAGGAGAGGAATGTCTTGCACAGTGATAGTCAGAGTGCGATACACTTGGCTAAGAATTCTGCATTTTATTCTAGAACGAAGCATATTGCGCTTCAGTACCACTTCATCAGATCCTTGTTGGAAGATGACGTGTTAAAACTGGAGAAGATTCCAGGAAGTAAGAATCCAACAGACATGTTAACAAAGACGGTGATCGTTTAGAAACTAGAGTTGTGCGTAACTTCAGTTGGCTTTCATACATAGGTGATGAGGGTAGAGTCACACAGGAGGAGGTGCTTGATGAGATAGCCTGTTGACGTCGGTTTTAATCTCCAAGTAGGAGATTGTTAAAATCGGGTGTAGATCAAACCTCGATTCAGGCGAGGTTGAACGAAAGCAGACGAGCTCAAGATCCGGGTGAGATTTCATCAGGCGAGGTCGCTCGAGGCAGGCGAGATTTTTGTCAGGCGAGATCTTGTATGGCGAGTTTTTTGGAGCAGGTGGACTCCACCCAGGCGAGCTCGAGGGCATGTGTTGCAGGCGAGTTCGAGGCGAGCTGGCGGGGTTCGAGGTGTGTGTGGGCTGGTGACAGCCTGTCGCCAGCCGAACCTTAGGGTTTTCCTATAAAAGGGAAACCCAGAGCTCATCCCGCGGCAGCGCCTCTCTCGCGATCTCAAGAAACCCCCTTTGGCGGCGGATCCTCTTTTCCTCTCCCTCTCTCTGTTCCGTTTTTCATCTCCAGCTCTCAATCGTGATTTTGAGGGGAGACTTTAAGAAGGAAGTCAAAGAGGGGTGAAGGAAATTGAAAAGGGGTATTTAAGAGGGATACACTATAGCTACAGTGTTAGCCTTTGTATTTATTGAGAGATCTCAGTTTGAGATCGGCTCTTGTTTTGTAATTTCTTGTTGATTAATAAGAAATTTATTGTGTGGCTCCCGAGAACGTAGGTAGTTACCGAACCTCGTTAAATCTTGGTGTACTTTTTCTATTCTGTGTTTCTGCTTTCTTAGGGGTTTTGCGTAGCCTCGGCGGGTAAATTCCCAATACAAATAACCCCCCAAACTTCCCATAGAGACTTCCTCTATCCTCACAACTCCGCTAGAGCCTCCGTCAGAGTATGCCGAATCCAATGGAGCGACACCCTTGCTGACTACGCCAAGGACTACGCGTATCGTTAGGCCAACGACTATCGACTGTTGCACTCTGACGGTCCATACTGGGAGAACTTGTTCTGGGGGAGCGACGACGGGTTCACAGCGACGGATGCGGTGGAGGCGTGGGTGGAGGAGAGAGTGGAATGATTATGGGAGGAACCTGTGTTTGGATGGGGAGGAGTGTGGGCATTATAGGCAGGTGTGTGGGCTGAGACGGTTAGGGTTGGTGTGGAGTGTGGCTGCAGGGTGGGAGGGAGTTTTTATGGTGGTAGTTATTGCTACCGATAATATGATTGGAGAGAGCCTTACTAGGTATCACCCCCCCCCCCCGCCCCCAAAAGACAAAAAACCCAACCCAAAAAAAAGAAGAAAAAAACCCTACCACCAACCACCAAAATGAATCACTTTGGACGATATCAGGAATCCATTAGTGGTGGATATATAAGTCGGTTAAAGAGAAAATTTTGTCGTTGAAAATTGAGGCCCACGCTTTTAGAACGATTTTCTAAGATTAGAAAATCTTAAAGTTTAAAGGGGTTTTCGGATAACCTGTAATGTTAGGGGAATTTTCTTCTGATATTTTGACAGTTAGGGGAGTTTGATAATTGTTCAAAGTTGTTGGGAGTTCTATGAAATTTTGGCGCCTTATAAGGGGTTTGGTTAATTGGTGTTGGGGAGAGTTGAGCTCATCTTTTTGTGTGGGAGAATGCTTATGGAGCAGATTGATTTATATGGTTTAAGGAACTTGCAAGTGATCATGAAAAACATTTTACTATTCTTCAACCACTTTTTTATCATTAAATTAAACTAAGAGAGCAAATTTTTACTTATTTTTAACTGATTTAAGGTTCTTTTCTCTTTTAATAGTCTTATGAATTTTTGTATTGATGTGAATTTTATTATTTTATTATTTTTAATAAATTTATGAATCATCATTTTAATCAGTTTATACATTAATACAATAGGGTGTGTACATTTGTAAGATCTATTTACTGTAATTGTATTCATAATCCAGAATCTTCAAAAGGTTAAATAGATGTAAATCATTCACGTCATAAGTTTAAATTAATATAGAGATAAGAAAAATTAGAAATAAATTAATTTCATATAGCCACGGGGACCAAATGGAAGATAAACTCCATCTTTCTATGAGAACTTTCGCATATCTAACTCGAGAATCCTCTATTAGATTTGGATTATCTTACTACTACAAAAGGTTCTATTAGCAACATTTAATTGATTAACCGTTACTAATAAAAGCTATTAGTAATGGTTATGATAATAACTAATTCTAGTTTCTTATTAATAACGGTTCACCTTTTCATTTACAAATTAAATTAATTAAAATACCAAATCGGTTTTGAAATAAAATGTGGGAAATGAAAATTTGAGCGCTCAAGGAGTTAAAAAATCTAAAAAATTGGGCGACTCCTTCGCTCTTTTCTAAAAATTGGGCGACTCCTTCCTTCTTCTCTTTCATTCTCTTACGCTCAAACCTTAACTCATTCTCTAATGCTCAAACCATAACCCTAGAATCCCCACTGCTTATTGCCTCCCCTAGCAGCTCCTCCTCCCCCACGCCAGCCTCCCCCCGAACCCCCGCCGGGCCTCACATTGTGCCCGACCGACGCGGTCCCGGCCCCCAGCCACCTTCGCCGCCCAAGTTCCTCGCGAGCATCCCCGCCGTCACCGTCACCGAGTTCCACATCTCTGGCCTCAGCCTCGTCGTCAACCCCAGGCCCTTCCCCCGCGGTCGCATCTCCTTCTTCTACTGCTCCAGCTTCCGTGACTCCACCGCCGTCCGCTCCTTAGCTAAAGAGGAAGGACTGGACGACCATTGCTTGGAGATAGTAGGAAAAGATTGGGACCGAATTGCTTAACTTTTTTGTTTTAATCCACATCAAGTGTTTGATAATTTGCTGACTAGACCTATGTGCTGTCTGTTTTTTTTCCTTTTCTATTTAATCTTTTGTTGGCATACCAGATGTTTGATAATTTGGGTATGAGTGTAATATTTAATTGGATAATTAAAAATGTTGCAAGTGTAGTGTTTGATCAACCATGTTTATGATTGAATCCAGTATACCATATAGAGGCTGGATAATTTTTTAAGTATGAGATGATATGCAGTCGTTAATTTTTTTTTTTTTTTGCTTTTTTACAGGTGGAGATTGCTGCTCTTCTTCATGACATTGGTAAGTTATTATTCTCAACTCTCCATGTCTGGAAAAAAGGTGCATTGTTTGTACTCTGTTACTGATTAGGAGGCTGTTTTTGTTCTTGGTTATTGCAGGAGTCTACAAGTATACCAAGTGGGTATCTTTATTAACTCCTTGGTTTCCGAGTGTGGTTATATTTTCTATAGTTATTCCTTCCATGATGCCTAATTACTAAAATTAAGAAGCAGACTAAATGAATTATGCATCATGATGTCCTTAACTTTCATGATGCCTAATTACTAAAATTAAGAAGCAGACTAAATGAATTATGCATCATGATGTCCTTAACTTTCTGGAGCTTCCATATTGTAATGATTAAGAAGCAGACTAAATGAATTATGCATCATGATGTCCTTAACTTTCTGGAGCTTCCATATTGTAATGTCACCCTGATTGTTATCTATTTTGTTTTTGTTAAATTCATGTCCAAAAATTGAGTATCATTTGTACGGAAAAAGGAACCTTCATGCCTTTGGGATTTCGATCTTTATGTGCAGAGACTTGGTTGAGGATACATCAATCCTGGAGAAGTTTCTCAAGGAAGAGGGATTGGAAGATAGCAAACGAGAGAAAATATTGAGCATCATAAAAGGAATGGGTATGCTTCTAACATTTGTGGCTTTAAACTCTGGTTTGAAATCATATTCTTGTATTAAGTAACATTTTTATTTAATTTATATAGCAAAGTTACTATCCCACCCTCTTCCTCCGCCTGAAGTCCCTCCCCTTCACCGAGATCAGCCTCGACGTCTTCCCCGATAGTGATCTCCTTTTTCTCAACTCGTGATGCTAAATTGGGCCAAAAACTACAGTAAGCATCTTTGTTATTAATTTCTTGTGCTTTCTTGTGTTTTAATTGTCATCCAGTCATAACAAAGGTATAGTTATTTGATTGTTTCAGTGAGAAATAATTTACAAATCATATCAAATTATGATAAAAATAGTCTGACTAGTGATATAGCTTATTTTTTTATGTAACTAAACTATGTAAAATATGTAAAATATTGATAGGATAAGACTATAAGATCATCTCAGAGTTGACAACGGGACTTAGGATGGCATAGCTTTTAATTGTGTAGTTTTTCATGTTGGTATACAAATGATTATGGTTAACTTGCAGTTCAGTCAATGAGACATGGGTCACCTGATTAGTTTTATTTGTAAACGTTGATATAAAGTTTTGTTTTGGTAGTAACTTTCATTATTGTTATTTTGTGGAGGATTCGCTACTTTTATCACTAGCGTTAATTTGTCAATAGTTCTGATTTATTTTAAATCCATCATTCATCATTCGGATTGAGTAAAGAGTTGGTTCGATCAATTTTTATAAATTTTGACAAAATTGAAGTGAACCGTTCTATATTTGAAATTGAGCCAAACCGGTCAATTATTCCCATTGGAATTGGACTAGTTTAATAAAAAAAATACTTTGGTCATAAGAAAGGTTTACATCAAGAGATCTGTTGGGCGCAGAGTCACGCCCTCATGCCACGGAAGCGATATAACCCGAGAGAAAGCCCTGGCATTTATTTTCACAAAAGCTCAAGCCAATCTCTATATTCTCATTTCACAAAGGAAACAAGAATAGAAAGTAAAATATCTCCATAAAGTGAAATATATACTCTTCCTCTCATCAGTTCTAGGCTGACTTGTCGAGGGAACTTACAAGCAATAGCCAACACCCAGAAAAACAGTAAAGACACGAGATTTATGTGGTTCGACAAACTTGCCTACGTCCACGGGAGGGGTGAATGGAGATTCCACTATGAGGAGAACACTGACGACTTGTACAATCCACAAGCTCGTCTCAAAAGAAGAAGATTGGAGATTCCACTATGAGGAGAACACTGACGACTTGTACAATCCACAAGCTCGTCTCAAAAGAAGAAGATTTGATTTTTACCCAAAAGGAGAACACTGACGACTTGTACAATCCACAAGCTCGTCTCAAAAGAAGAAGATTTGATTTTTACCCAAAAGAAATTGAAATCTCCCTTGTAAAATCTCTCCAAAACTCTCTCCTCTAGATGTCTCTATTCTAGCTGCCAAACCCTCTGTTTTCTCTTAACAACCGACTAAACCCTTTTTTCCACAAAAAACCCTAGAAAAACTACATTGATATTTATAACAAACACCTCACTGCACATGTATCTTAGGTCGGGTAGGCCTACTGAACTCGCTGCCTGTTGGATTTTCAGCGTCCGAAAAAGACTCGCGCGAGACAGTTGCCAAGTGTCTCGCACGTGGACTGCTTATAATTCTCCACCTCGTACATCATTTGATAAACCTTAAATTTTAGACGAACACCAGAAGAACACCGCGAACGTCACCAGAGAGATCTAAAACGCCAAACCAGGCTAAAACTAGCTGCACCATTATACCATGGCTTCCTATGTACATTTTGACCAGGATCAAGCTAACCGTAGTTCAGAAATTGTTCTCCATATAGTCTCCATCTCACCCCATCACCGCCCCAAAGGGCCATGCCCTCTTGGGCAGTTCAACATGGTCTGATATGAAGCAAGTCCAAGCAATGCTTACACTTGCTACCTGTGACCACCTTGGTTAACATGTCCGTGGGATTCTCATTAGTATGCACATTCGTGAGAGAAATATCGCCTTCCTCTATGATATCCCACACGAAATGATACCTGACATTGATATGCGTGGTACGAGCATGATGACTTGATTCTTCGCCAAGTGAATCACACTCTGACTGTTGCACAACAATTTCGCGTTCTCCTGCTCAATCTCCAAATCGTCTAGAAGACCCCACAACCATAATGCTTCCTTTACACCCTCCGCCATGGTCATGTACTTAGCTTCTGTAGTAGAAAGTACCGCTCTAGCTTGCAATATCGATCGCCAACTAACTGGAGCCCTGTGTATCCTGAATACATAACCAGTAATAGATCGCCGTCTATCTAGATTGCCTGTATAATCAGAGTCAACAAACCCATCAATCAGACATGTATCTTCACCAAAACATAACCCCGTATCAACAATATCCTTCAAGTACCTCAGGACCCATTTCATTGCTTTCCAATGTGCCTTTTCCGGATTCGTCATGAATCTGCTGACCACACTGACCGCCTGTGAAATAGCTGGGCATGTACACACCATGGCGTACATCAAACTACCAACTGCACTAGCATAAGGAACACACTCCATGTGTGCATTCTCTTCCGTTGTAGTGGGAGATTGTTTACCTGAAAGCTTGAAGTGTGGAGCCAATGGAGTCACCACCGATTTAGCACTTTGCATCCCAAACCTTACGATAACCCGCTCTATATAACCCTTCTGACTCAAGAACACTCACCGATTCGCCCGCTCTCTTCTAATCTCCATACCCAGTATTTTTCTTGCAACGCCCATGTCTGTAGGATCTGATCCAATCATAATAAAACACTAGAAGGAGGTGAATAGTGTTCTTTTAAAAAATTAATACAAAGAAGATTATAATTTGCAAAGAAATAGCACAATCACAAAAAATAACAATCACAAATATATAATTTTATACTGGTTCCACCTCCCAAATGTACATCCAATCCCCAAGCAAATCCTGCTTGACTGTTCCACTATGATTTTAAAAAACTTACAAAATCAAAACATCAAACCTGACCAATTTGCAAGTTTCTGTAAATTGCACCCAATCTCTTCACCAAGAGATTACACTTCTCACACTCGAGAGAACACTTGTCTTGATACAACTTGATTCCTATAAGCCTTGATAGTATTATGATATATAGCAGTGGCTAGGAACGTTTTGAATCTCTGAAAATTGCCTAACTTGATTGTATATTGAATGAGGATCAAAGGCAAATTTAGAAAATGATTTTTCTCAACACTTAGTGAAAATCTGAAAATTTTTCTTTTGAAAGATGCACAAAACTTGAATCTTATGTATAGGAATTTGTGACTCAAAATTCTGAACATATAACATATTTATAGCATTGAAAAGACATGTTTTCAAACTCTCAAAACGTATACAAAACGACTATAAACTGTTATTAATTTGAATTCTGATATGTCAGAAAACTATCTTTGTAGTCGACTATAATGGTCATTAGTCGACTACTCTGTAAAACAGAAAGTTTGGAATTCAAAAATCAACGCTGAGTAGTCGACTATAATTAGTTGTAGTCGACTACTCTGTAAAACAGAAGTTCTGGAATTCAAAATTCAAAGCTCAGTAGTCGACTATAATCAGTTGTAGTTGACTACTCTATAAAACAAAAGTTCTGGAAATCAAAGTTCAAAGCTGAGTAGACGAGTAGTCGACTATAATCCTTAGTAGTCGACTACTCTGTAATTTTACAGAAAATTTATATTTTGATCTTAGACTTCAGTAGTCGACTACTAATCTAATTAGTCGACTAGTAAGGGGTAAAAATGTGATGTATGAAATATTTTAGACTCAATGATTAACTAAATACTCTAATGGTTAACATAGGAGATTTCTATTGTTAATCAACACATTAAGCTTGTGTTAATGTGTTATAATCTCTATGTGTATGTATGTGTGAGTGATCAAGGCTTGTACAATATTTCTAAGTAAAGAAAATGTAAAAAATTATATTGATATATAAGCTCTTCATCTTCTTTACTTCTTGATACATTGAACTCATCTTGTACTTGTTTATGTTGATAACTACATTGAAATGTTAGTACATACACATAGTGATTGACATTATTAATAAATTGTTATCATCAAAAGTATATCATGGGGACATGATATCCAACATTCTCCCCTTTTTGATGATGGCAAACAATTTATGCCTATGTAAGTATATTTTTAAATGAAATAGATATTAATAAATAAATATACTTACTCCTCTGCATAAAAGCATATTAGAGTCTACAATTCATATTTTTGAGTTTATATAACATAATTCTGATACCATTCTCCCCCTTTGTCATTAACAAAAAGAAATACACATCTATCCTAAGCATGTCATAATTTTCTCTTCATGAGCTAATACTTCAAAAAGATCTTCCAAATTGTGAACATAGTCCATCACTTCACCCATCCATATGGGTAGGCAAAGACTTGCCATAAATATCAAAATTTTGACAATTTCCATCTTCACAATCTGTTTGTAATAGAAGTATCTCATGAACACAAAATATGAAATATAAACCTAGTAAGCATGATTAAAAGAAGCATAAATTCATACATAGTCTTAAGCAACATAAACATAATAGCAACAAACGACATATTACACAAGTCTTAAAGTAAATAACTAACACATAGCTTTTGACACATAAACTTAAACAAACCAAGTTAACACATAGTTTTTAACATAAACATGAAACTAAGCCAAACACTACATGATGCATGCATGGTCCTCTAACATGAAGGTCCTGGAGGAGGTGGATGCCTTGGAAAATTGCATTGAGCTTCATATCCAAGTTATTAAATTTCTTAATTAACTCCTCCTGATTACTGATGATGTAATTGTTCTGGGAATAAAGAGCTCGCTGACCAGTCTCTAACTCAAGGATGCGTGCAGACAATGTGTTATATTGTGCATCCGAGAAGCAAGAAGGTTCTGATTGCATTTGAGGTGGTTGTTGGCTAGAAGAAGGGCCTGCTTGACTTGAGGATTGCAGAATATCTTGTGGAATTTGTTCTTGAGGAGGGTGGAGTTCATCTTGGGGATTTTGATCATGAAGTTCAAAATTAGTTAACTTCATCCTAGTTAGGGCATTAGAGTCAAAGAACTCAATGGAACGAACGACAGAATTTTCTGACTCAAGATCGACATGAAATTTATCAAAGACTTTCAAAGAACTCAATGGAACGAACGACAGAATTTTCTGACTCAAGATCGACATGAAATTTATCAAAGACTTGTTAAAAATGCACCATCAGGAAGAAATCCTTTTGGTATAGTTAAGAAATTGTCATAATAAACTTTAACCCAATTAACTTGAATATTCCCCA